CTCAGTGCCCTCTTCAGGAGCCCCCAAATGCACCATCTCTTCAGGCAGAAACCTGACCTGACCACGGCCCTAGCCCCTCCTGAAATCGCTCCCTCAGTACTACAGAAGCACGCAGGGTCCCTGCACCTGAGGGCCCTTTTATTCCTTCTCCCCTTTTTTGGGCTCTATTTATGTTCAATTCTATTTTTCAGTCCCAGAGATAATGCTGGTAGCTATAAAAGGCTGGGAATGGAAACTTAGGGGAAAATTTGTTTCCTTTTATTTATTTCCTTTTATTCTGCCTTCTGTTCCCAAGACAGAGCCCCTCCCCTCAGTGCAGGGGTGCTGGTCAAGGGTTTCCCAACCTGGGGAAGTATTTATTTATAATTCCGGATCTCGCTGCTCTTTTAAATGGCGCTTCATACGGAGCCACTTCATTCCACTGAAAAGGCCCTGTTAGGTTCTAGTGGTTTCCTCCCTTCAGGTGCCGGGACGTGCTCGCTGTGGCTTGCTGCGCACCAGGTGTTCACGCCTCTTGGCGGAGTGTCTGCCAGCACCACGGATGGTACTCCTTTTTCCAGTTTCTTCCCTCCCACTCAGGTTCTGTGCACTTTCATTCCCTCATTTGCCAAATGTCAAAGTCAGGATTTCTTCGGGGGTCCTTGTTCCACAGGGCGTGGGGCGTGAGGTGAAGTTTCTCCATGACTCAGTGACAGCCCGGACTGGGCTTCTGTGCTGCTGCCTCTGAACTCACGACACCCCTGCCGGGGCTGCTCTCCCCCTGCTGGAGGCCCCACACAGGCCGCTTGGGAGACCCCATCTTACTGGCTTCTGGATACTGTGAGAGCTTGGAGGCCCTGGGTCACCCCCCATTTTAGTCCGGCTCCAGGGCAGCGTCTCCTGTTCCCTGCCAGCTGCTGGCAGGGATGCCAGGGCACAGGGTGTCTGGTGGTATCAGAAGCTCTAGAATCCAAGATGGGTGGTCTGTGCTGTGGGCCACAGTCAGGGGGCAGAGAGGCATCCAGATCGGGCAGAGGCCTGGGTCACCCACCTTGGAGCCTTGACCCCCTTTTACAAAATGTGGGCACATCCATGCCAGATTGTGTGCTGCCTTCCAGCCTGGGAAATAGGCCCTGGGAAAGAGCCATCCATACCTCGGCCAGGAGGCAGTGCCAGCGCTGGAGGGGATGGAAGCTCCGTGTAGGCGTGTGGGAGGAAAGGTCCTGTTCCCGAGAGGCTGCCAACCACACGTGGGCGCCGCCTGGGCTGGGTGGGCTCCAGCGAGGCCTGCCTGGAGGGGCTGTTTCTCTAGGCTCCACCCGTGTCCAGGTGAAGGGGTCTTGTCGCTTACAGGCGGTGTGAGGTTGGGCCAAGCACTGCTCTCCCCAGCCTGAGTTTCCCTGTCTATAAAATGGCACGAGGCATGTCGTTAGACCTTAAAGAGGAGGGAAATTCTGACACACGCTGCCACCTGGAAGAACCTGGAGGACTTGGTGCTCAGTGAAGTGCTTGGTGCTTGGTGCCCATGGGCACGGGCTGAGCGTGTCCTCGGGGGGCTGGCGGGTGCATGGAGGGCGGAGTGCTGCGGTTTTGCCAGATGAAGGGAGTTCGGCGGTGCGTGGTGGCGATTGTCACACAACGACGTGAATGTAGTTAATGCCTCTGAACTTCACGCTTACAAACGGTTACGACGGCACATTTCATGTCTTATGTGTGTTACCACAATTAAAAACTAAGACTTGGAGAAAAGGAGGGCGCTACAGCAGCGCACACCTACTGGGCCTGGCGCTCTCTGCCTGTTTGGTCACCTTGAGTCACCCAGCTCCTGGGCGGCCCTGTGCCCGGGGGACAGAGAACCAGGGATGAGCAGCTCCTTTTCCTTCCTGGGCCCTCGGGGTCGGAGGGGGAGCGGGGAGGGCCAGAACGGCTTCTTCCCTCCGCCTCCCCGCCCTGCCCACATCCACCTGAAACTCGGAGATCCACGCCCTCCCTGCGCCCTTCCCGCCCTGTCCCTCACTCCTCTCTAGAAGCTCGGGAGCTTCTAGTCTGACTCTGGGGCTTGGGGATGGAGGACATCGAGGACACCGGCCAACACTGATGCCCCCCCAACCCCCAGGAGCCATCCTGCCTGGAAGCCCTCCCCGCAGGAGGCTGGCCGCTGCCTTTGCCCTGACTCGGGGTCATTATCCCAGCGCTGCCCTCTCTTCCCTCACTCATCCTGGAAGGGAGGCCCTGGGTGGGAGGTACCCCTGGTAACTTTCATTGTCCCTATAGGCCTGAGCTGAGGGCCAAGTCCAGGGTGTGCCTGAGGCCAGGTTTGGGGCCACCAGGTTCCTTCCCTCTCTGTGCCTCCAGCGCCCCTGCCTGTGAAGGGTGCAGTGAACAGTCTCTGCCTCAGAACCAGGACTCAGGAAGCAGGGCAAGCCTGGCCGTGAGATGCCTCACTGTGAGAGAGGGTGTTCCCCACTCCCGACACACCCACTCCCCTCTAAACAGTGAAGCTGCAACCACATCCTGCCTGGTCATAAACCGCCCCACCCCGTGGCTGGCGGCCTGCCCCGGCAGTCTCATTCTGGGCTCTCCGGGATAGGCAGCCTCCTGCCCTCAGGCCTCTGGCCTTGGCCCCTCCTACCTTCCGTTCCCCAGTCTTTGGGCGCTTGCCTGGGCCTGGCTGTGGACCTGGGGATCCTTGAAGGAGGGACGAGTGTCCAGGTGCCTCTGCCGGCCGTGTGATTCAGCAGCCTTCCCTGGAGTGCCACTTTCCCTGGAGTGTGGGTGGTGTGAGGAGCAGCCGGTCATTAGCGGACCCGGGCCTTCCTGTGGGGCGGGCACTCTCCTGGCCTGTGAGTCCTGGCCTCACGGGGACGACCCCCAGCGGGAGCCGCCAGCCCAAGGCGGGTGGTGTCTGTTGGCCCCGTGGTGACCTGAGCTCTGGGAACCTGCGGGGGTAGCTGGACTCCTGAGCCTGGTTTCTCTTAGCACCACCCACGTGTGGGCCTTGGGCAGGTGGACAGTGGGTCCTGCAGTGGTAAGGATCTGTGTGGGGGAGGGGGACAGGCCTGGGCTTAGATTGGCTCGCCACTTGAGGCAGAGTGACACTGGGTAGGCAGGTGACTTCCCCCCTCAGTTCCCCCATCTGTGGAAGGAGGTCCCACGAGGAGGGTTCCCCGAGAAGGACTAGCCCAGGACCTGGCTCTCTCAGGACCTCTGCAATGCGCTGACCACCATGGCCTCTGCTGAGGGCCCGGAATCCCTCCCGCACCCTGGTGTGCTTTCCTCCTGCCCTCCCCACTCGTTCCCATGGCACCCGGAAAGACAGGACGGGGAGCATTTAGCGTCTGAAGGGAAGCCCTGGTTTATGAAGGGTTTGTTACCATTGTCATTAGCAGTATTACCAGTCTTCAAAATGACGTGTCCCAGTCCATCTCCTGGGCGCCCATGTTCCTCTCCAGGAGAAACAGACACATCTGTCAAAACCCAGATGCTTCACCTCTGGTTTCAGAGCTAGTCGAGATTAGCTGAGTAGGGTGTAAAGCCCAATTACAGCTCTGTTTGCCAACAAATATACAGAAAGACAGCAATGTCCTGGCTCCTTGGGCTATGGGCCATGGGCACTGGCCCTGGTAGCGCCGAGGGCCGCTACCTTTGTCTTTCTACACCCGTGAATCTTCCCAAGGGATCTCCAGTGAGCAGCCAGTACCTTTTTTCCATCTTGTCTTGCAGGCCTTTCGTTATAACAGCAACGCATCCCGACGGCCCGAGGCCAGGCCCCCTCAGACGTTCACTCTGTGCGCACCTCCTGTATGGCACTGGCCCGGCCTCCTGACTGTGGCTTCTTAGCCAGCGTTTCCCAAACCTGGTCAGTTACTAGTGCCACCGAAGTCACGTGTTGAAAACCAGTGACTCAGACCTGCCAAATCCAACTCTCCAGGGGAGAAGCTGCTGCTATTTTCAGTTTCTTCATACACACGTGGACACACCCCACCAGAGGTCATTTTACATAGATGCGTAAGTGCGGGCCCGCTGCCCTGCTGGGGTAGACGGCGGTCGTGTTTCCTCCTCCCCAGCCAGTGTCTGTCTTCACACCCACTGTGCATCCTCCTGGTTCCCTTGGTGATCGCGAGACCCTGGGTGGACACTACACACAGACACACGCCTGCACACGCAGACTGAACTTGTTAAACTTCCCTCTTTGTTTTACAAAAAGCAACTTCATGTCAAGCCCCCTCCTGTGTTTTGCTGTCCTCAACTTGTCAGAAATCCCCTCAGATCACTGTCGTGGTTTCACAGCAGCCCGTGTCCTGTGAGCTGGGAACTGAGTCCAGCCCCTCTGGTCTGTCTGGGCTGAGTAGACCAGGGTCTACACGGGAATTCCCAAATGTTCTTGCTAGACGGAGGCAGGGGCGGGCGCCTGTGATGCTGTTCCAGCTCCGTCAGCTCAGCCCCGACCTCGGGCTCCATCTTCCTATTTATTTATTTATTTATTTTTTTAAATAGAGGCATGTTTATTTATTTATTTATTATATTTGTTTGTTTGTTTTTGTTTATACATGCACTGGGTACAGTCAGAAGCGCGGGAGGGTGAGAGAATTCACCAGAGCCAGAGCGGGGAGCAGAGCAGGCAGAAGGACTGAAGTACACTGCTGAGGGGAGCAGCGGGTGGCAGGAGAGATCTGCGCACCATGTGGGATCCTCCTCCGGTGGCCGGGGAGCAGCCGGGGATTGAACCGGCGCCGCAGAGGCCGCAGGCAGCTTCGCAACCCAGCGCTCAACCGCTGCGCCACCGGGGAGGCCCTCCATCCTCCTATTTACCCTGTGGGGAGGCAGTTGGCTCCAGGCACCCGGGACCACATGGTCCCTGGAGAAAGATGCCTCCAGGAACCCTCCCATGAGTGAGGCTGGGACCCGCGGTGAGCCTGGAGGTGGGGGTTTGGACCGTGGGTCTGTCATCTCCTTCCCTGACCTGGGTCTCGACACACGAGGCCACCCGGCAGTAACCCCCTCCTATGGATCCCTTTCAGGTTGAACCATGATTCCAGTGACAGAGCTCCGCTACTTTGCGGACACGCAGCCGGCGTACCGGATCCTGAAGCCGTGGTGGGACGTGTTCACTGACTACATCTCCATCGTCATGCTGATGATCGCTGTCTTCGGGGGCACGCTGCAGGTGACCCAGGACAAGATGATCTGCCTGCCGTGCAAGTGGGTCACCAAGGACTCCTGCAATGACTCCTTCCGGGGCTGGGCCGCCCCCAGCCTCGAGCCCACCTACTCCAACTCCTCCATCCCGCCCGCCCCTGACATGGGCCCCACAGGCATCAGGTATGACCTGGACCGGCACCAGTACAACTACGTGGATGCCGTGTGCTACGAGAATCGCCTGCACTGGTTCGCCAAGTACTTCCCCTACCTGGTGCTCCTGCACACGCTCATCTTCCTGGCCTGCAGCAACTTCTGGTTCAAGTTTCCGCGCACCAGCTCGAAGCTGGAGCATTTTGTGTCCATCCTGCTCAAGTGCTTTGACTCGCCATGGACCACGCGGGCCCTGTCAGAGACTGTGGTGGAGGAGAGCGACCCCAAGCCGGCCTTCAGCAAGATGAACGGCTCCATGGACAAGAAGTCGTCGACGGTGAGCGAGGACGTGGAGGCCACCGTGCCTATGCTGCAGCGGACCAAGTCCCGCATCGAGCAGGGCATCGTGGACCGCTCGGAGACCGGCGTGCTGGACAAGAAGGAAGGGGAGCAGGCCAAGGCGCTGTTTGAGAAGGTGAAGAAGTTCCGGACCCACGTGGAGGAGGGGGACATCGTGTACCGCCTCTACATGCGCCAGACCATTATCAAGGTGATCAAGTTCATCCTCATCATCTGCTACACCGTCTACTACGTGCACAACATCAAGTTCGACGTGGACTGCACCGTGGACATCGAGAGCCTGACGGGCTACCGCACCTACCGGTGCGCCCACCCCCTGGCTACGCTCTTCAAGATCCTGGCATCCTTCTACATCAGCCTGGTCATTTTCTATGGCCTCATCTGCATGTACACACTGTGGTGGATGCTGCGCCGCTCCCTCAAGAAGTACTCGTTCGAGTCCATCCGCGAGGAGAGCAGCTACAGTGACATCCCCGACGTCAAGAATGACTTTGCCTTCATGCTGCACCTCATCGACCAGTATGACCCACTCTATTCCAAGCGCTTCGCCGTCTTCCTGTCGGAGGTGAGTGAGAACAAGCTGCGACAGCTGAACCTCAACAATGAGTGGACGTTGGACAAGCTGCGGCAGCGGCTCACCAAGAACGCGCAGGACAAGCTGGAGTTGCACCTGTTCATGCTCAGCGGCATCCCCGACACAGTGTTCGACCTGGTCGAGCTGGAGGTCTTGAAGCTGGAGCTGATCCCCGACGTTACCATCCCGCCCAGCATTGCCCAGCTCACGGGCCTCAAGGAGCTGTGGCTGTACCACACAGCAGCCAAGATCGAGGCGCCTGCCCTGGCCTTCCTGCGCGAGAACCTGCGGGCCCTGCACATCAAGTTCACGGACATCAAGGAGATCCCTCTGTGGATCTACAGCCTGAAGACGCTGGAGGAGCTGCACCTGACGGGCAACCTGAGTGCTGAGAACAACCGCTACATTGTCATCGACGGGCTGCGTGAGCTCAAGCGCCTCAAGGTCCTGCGGCTCAAGAGCAACCTGAGCAAGCTGCCGCAGGTGGTCACGGACGTGGGTGTGCACCTGCAGAAGCTGTCCATCAACAACGAGGGCACCAAGCTCATCGTCCTCAACAGCCTCAAGAAGATGGTCAACCTGACGGAGCTGGAGCTCATCCGCTGCGACCTGGAGCGCGTCCCCCACTCCATCTTCAGCCTGCACAACCTGCAGGAGATCGACCTCAAGGACAACAACCTCAAGACCATTGAGGAGATCATCAGCTTCCAGCACTTGCACCGCCTCACCTGCCTTAAGCTGTGGTACAACCACATCGCCTACATCCCCATTCAGATCGGCAACCTCACCAACCTCGAGCGCCTCTACCTGAACCGCAACAAGATCGAGAAGATCCCCACCCAGCTCTTCTACTGCCGCAAGCTGCGCTACCTGGACCTCAGCCACAACAACCTGACCTTCCTTCCCGCCGACATCGGCCTCTTGCAGAACCTCCAGAATTTGGCCGTTACAGCCAATCGGGTGAGTGGCCTGACGGGGCGGCCCGGCTATGACTTGTGGCCTATGGTGGGGACGCTCAGTGTCTGGGGCCGGTCTGGTGCCCCACTTTCACCTTACGGCCCCCAGACCCTCCTGGGCGGGGGCAGGGGGAACATGGGGAAATGCAGGTCTCTGGCGATGCTGCAGAGTTCTGCCTGGAGGGATGGGGGGTCAGGCAGACCCCGTCCCCAAGGTGACCTCAGGACAGGTTCCGGTGGGCAGGGAGTGCATGGGCCAGAGTCCCAGGCCTGTGGTTCTCTTAGGATCATGGGAGGCAGGACGTAGCCTGGAGCCAGTATTTCCCCCTTTGCTTGTCCTGCACCAGGACCGGAGCCACAGGGACAATCTGGGTCCACCAGAGACAGGAACTGTGGGCGGCTGGTGCTCACTGAGGTGAAGCCAAACCGCCTCTATCACACCTAGTTCCACACACACTCCCTCCCCTCTGCATTTTAGGGGTGGTGGAGGCCAGAGTTGGGCTCAGCTGGGGCAGGCTTGTTGCTTTTCTAGGGAGGAAATTGTGCAAACTAGTGGATCTGCCCTGGGGGAGGCCACGCCCTAGAGATTGTTAGTAGCCCCAGTTCCAGTCCCTGCCTGGGTCGGGAAGCCTCCCACCCTTGGGCCCCTTGGAGGCAAGCATGTGGTGTAGAGGGCAGGGTGTGCCTGTGGCTTTGTGGTCTGGCCTCTGTAGTGGGAACAAAGCTGCAGCTGCTGGGGGGGACCTCCCCCTGCCCGGTCCTCCTGGGGACCTGCAGAGAGGTTGATGCAGAAAGAACTGTCTTCTAGGTCCCGACTTTTAGGGTGGAGGCCCTGGCATGAGATGGGTGGGGCTGGGAGACCATATTCAGCCACCACCTCTGTGCCTCCAGCGCATGCATTGGCTGGTGCAGCTCTGTCAACCCCCCAGGCGCTTGCTGCACGTCAGCCCCGTGCTGAGCCCTGGGACCTGGAGGTGGGCAGCCTGAAGCGCCCCTGCCACAGGAAAAGACCCACCTTCACCTGCATTACTCAGATTGGAGGGTTCAGGCACCCCCAGAGCTTCCCTCCCCTCTTGCCTAGGTCTCTTACTGCATACCACCCTGTCTCCTCCATGGAGCAGAGATTCTGACGAGCCCTGTCACCCTCCCCAGGTGGAGACAGGAGTGAGTGCCGGAGAGTGGACAGGGCGCCGCTTCTCTGAGCAGCTCCCTGGGCCACCACCGCCAGCCCTGCTGATCAGGGCAGCTGGCCTCCTGGGGAGAAGCCACATTGGGGGCTCACAACAGACCCAAGCTCTCCTTTAACACATATGGGGACTACCAGCTACTCCAGAGCGTGGCGAGGCGTGCCCCTAGAGTTAGCTCAGACTCGATCTTCCCTTGGCCCCTGGTGGGGCCTGTTCTGTGCAGGGAACTGTGCAGGCTGGGGGGCCCACCTAGTGAGCGGGGCCTGCCCCCAGCTCAAGGCCCCAACCTCTCCCCATCCCCACCTCCACACACCAGCAGGCTGTTGGTGTCATGCCTGTTGGCTGAGATCACCCCTCAGGAAAGGAGCTGGCGGTAGGCCGCCGTCCGAGGAAGGAGACCCTCTTGACACCCTGTGTAGCGCTCTGCTTAATCACATCCTGTTTCCGCCCCCGGGATGCCACAGGCCTTTATAGGGAGAAAAGTTCTCTTGGGCTGTCTGGACCAGGCCTCCTCCTGCCTTCCGCCCTCCATCCTTTAGCTCGGTGGTTCCCTAGGCGCCTGGAGGGTGTGGCAGTGCAGGCCCTAGGCTACTGTTTTCTCAGGTTTAAGCTCAAGCTAATGAACACCTTGATAAGACTGGCTTCACCCCACCACTCACTGCTCATGCTTCACAGGTGTGGCGAGCCGTTTTCTGAGTGCTCCTAGTGCAAGGTGCTGGGGACACACAGAGGAACGCAGCCCACCTGCTGCCTCTCTCTGGGGAAAGACAAGTTCCAGGCGGTTAGCACAGAGGGACAGGGGCTCTGCTGGGGCTCAAGGCTGCTGGGAGCACAGAGGAGTGGCCGCCACCCAGGGCCACAGGCCTGCCTAAGAAGGGACTTTTCACCAGCCCTGAGGGCCTGCTGGCAAGGAGGAGGTAGCCCGCTGAGGAGAGGGAGGCTCCTCAGTTCTGTCACCAGGAACTGAAAGCCAGAGGGGGCGTGGCAGTGAGCACCCCTGGAATTTGGACTTTCCCCTGAGGTTGGGGGCCAGACTGTCCTCGCTGCTAGAACAGTCTGGATCTTATCTGCCTTTGTTTCGAGGCCCGTCACTGGCGAGGCCAGGCTCTGACAGCAAGAACTGGACTCATCTCGTTCGGTACCTGGCGTGAAGCGGCTGTTCTCTGAGTTCTCGCTGATTGAGTGGGTGAAGGGACGCGCTGGCTTCCCGGCAGAGGGGCAGGATGAGCAGCCTGGGCTGGCGGCCTCTGGTGCGCAGGCGAGGCCGAGACCAGCAAGGGCGCCAGGGCTGGAGACATGGCTGGACTGGGGAGTGACCTTGCAGGAGAATCCACAGGACATGGGGCCGGGTTGGACCGTGGGAGCAGGGAGCGGCCAGAGTGACTCAGGGTTTCTCCCTTGGCTGCCTGGGTTTATGGAGGATCATCGAGACGGTGTCCAGGGAGGCCGGGATCCCCCAGAGGAGAGGGCGTGTCCCCCGTCAGGTGTCTGGGCTCCTGGGACGTCAGAGGCGCCAAGCTGAGTCAGCCTGGAACCGAGGAGCCATGCCCCCGGGGGTCATGGTGAAGAGCGCCCTGGGTCAGGTCACACAGGAAGAGGGTGGAAAAGGAAGCAGGAGGCCAGGCAGGGGCTTGTGGGCTCTGAGCAAGGTGGGGGTGTCCGGGCCAGTGTGTTGTGGGTGACCTATGGTGACTGGCCTGGTAGTATCTGAGAGGGACAGGGGAGAAGCCAGCTACCTGAGGGGCCAAGGGGATAGACCACGTCTTTCCAGGTGGTTTTTTGGGAAGCAGGGAGGCCCACGGAAGATGGCATCACCCGAGAAGCTTCCTGGGACAGTGGTCTTGTTTTCCAAAGACCAGGTAGAATGGAGTCCACGTCAGTCTCCTGGGGGAGCTTCTGAGACCCCAGAGGACATAGGAGAGGTGGGTTTGGGTGACAGGAAGTAACGTGCCTTCAGTAGATGAGCAACTCCTGGAGGGAAGGACAGATCTCAGGACAGGTGTGGCCAGGTGGGAGCCGATCCTCTGGTGGCCTTTCCTTCTCTGTGGAGCCTGGAGCAAGCTTGCTGGGGCAGGGTTCTTTGGGGAGGGGGCTCTGGAGCCAGACCTATGACATGTGAGCCCCTGATGTCCCACTTACAGTCCCTGCCTTTCCTGCTGCCCCTGACCACTGTCTGTCACAGAGGAGGCTGCAGGGGCGGCAGTAGAGCCTTTCTGGGAGGCTCTGACCCCTGGGTCATAGGAACCCCTTTCCGCCTGCATGCTCACCGTCACGCCTGGCCTGCAGCCCTGCTGGCCTGGGGGCCACTGCAGCCCCCCTCCTGACCGCTGGGCAGCACAGTGCTGGTTTTGGAGGCCCAGGTCAGGGGCCTTTAAAGCATCCGTGGTATCCCTGGTGGTATGGCCTCTGTGAGTGACAAGAGGCCCAGGAATGGACGTGACGCAACTGGGATCCTCACCCCATTGTCCCGCTCTCCCAGTTCTCAGAAGCAGCTAAGGGGTTGGGAATTTCTTAGCAGGCTGCTCTGCCTTCAGAAATTATTCATCAGGCAGGATTGGCAGTCTGGCTCCGGGCGAGCCTGGCTGACGGCGAGATCCACCTGGGGCGGGGAGATGTGGGGAGCAGGCGGACCCATTCCTGCCCTCCCACAGCCACAGTCCCAGGGCGACACACAGCCGACCTAGCGGTGGGCCACAGAAAGAACGGCACTGTCGGGGGCTTGGGTGCCGCGGTTGCCTTGGAGCTCAGGGAAGGCTGTGGGGCGGATGTGGCCGCAGGGCTGAGAACTGATATACAGGCAGAGGTGGCCCGGACTTGGGTCCAGATTGAGCCAGTCCCAGGGTCTGGGGAGCTGCAGGGGGCCTCAGAGAAGGTGCCCGGAGGCTCTTGGGCCTGAGCCTCACCTCTGCCCTCTGCTCCTTCCCCTGCAGATCGAGGCGCTGCCCCCAGAGCTCTTCCAGTGCCGGAAGCTGCGGACCCTGCACCTGGGCAACAACGTGCTGCAGTCGCTGCCCTCGCGGGTGGGCGAGCTGACCAACCTGACCCAGATCGAGCTGCGGGGCAACCGGCTGGAGTGCCTGCCTGTGGAGCTGGGCGAGTGCCCGCTGCTCAAGCGCAGCGGCCTCGTGGTGGAGGAGGACCTGTTTAGCACGCTGCCGCCCGAGGTGAAGGAGCGGCTCTGGAGGGCTGACAAGGAGCAGGCCTGAGCGCTGGCGGGCGGCCACTGCAGCGGCACCACCGCGGCTGCCTCGGGCCTGGGAGCCCAGAACCGGGCTGGGCCGGAGCCTGGGGCCGGGGGCGAGCTGAGCTGGGCCAGGCAGGGACGGCACCGGAGGGCTGGCCCCTTTTCTCCCTCTGAGACTCATGCCCCGGGGCCGGCGCCCATGGGGGAGGTGGGAGACCCGCCTTCATCGCCAGGCGAGCTCGCAGTGTTTGGACAATCAGGGCCTCCTCCCTGGAGGCCACCTCTGCCTCAGAGGCCAAGCCGACACCAGAGGTCCAGGACACCCACTTAGCTCTTGGTATTTATTTCCCCCACCTCCCGCCCCCCCCCCCCCCCCCGCAGATAACTTATACATTCCCGAGAGCGCTCCCGCGAGGTGGGGGCAGTAAGGGTGAGCCGTGTTCCTGTGCCCTTTTTTAGTGATGTTGTTGGCCTCGTGTGCCCACCCAGACCGGAGCCTAGCAGCCCAGGGGGAGCCAGCTGCGGGACGGTGGCCCCAGTGGCGCCAGGCTGGGCTCTGGCGGCCCGGCCCGCGGCGGAGCCGGCCACCAGGTGGGAAGGCCAGGCCTGGGGCTTGCTGTATCGGTTTTAAATTTTTTAAGGAAAAAAGAAATTTTTTTTTAAGCTTTGAAAATCGAAGGTTTGGGTATTAAAAAGAAAAACACTTAAAAAAAAAAAAGACACTAAAGGCCAGTGAGTTGGGGTCTCAGGACGGGGCCGCGGTTTTCCTTGAGGAGCAGCAAGACTTTGAACGGCGTTTCCGTCCCCGGGCGCAGGCCCTGGTGTCTCCACGCTGTGTCGCTCTGTGTGGCCTTGTTCCAGGCGTTCTGTCTGTTCTCTCCTGGGGCGGGGAGTTTTTGTTTGGTTTGGTTTGGTTTTTTCGGTGTCTTGTTTTCTCTCTCTTCCATGTGTCTTGGCAGGCACTCCTTTCTGTGGCTGATGGCCAAAGGGAATGTTCTGGAGCTGCCAAGAAGGGAGGAGACTCGGGTTGGCTAATCCCTGGACGAACGGTGCTCCATCCTCCCTTCCCTCATCAGTGTTAAGGAGCCGGGAGCTGCCTCCCCGACTCCGCCTCCCAACTCTCGGGCCGCAGGTTTGCCCAGTGCCAGAACTCGCCCCTGCCGACTCGGGAGCGCTCCTCCCCACTGGTCCTGCCGAGCGGGCACCGGGAGCTGGGGTCGCAGGCGGGCAGTCGCCGCCGGGAGGGCAGGCTCCCCAGGTTTGGGCCCTAAGCCGGTTTCTGTCCCAGGTGCCTGGCACACCCAGCCCCCCAGCACCTGGTGGCGGGAAGCCACCTCAGTTAGATGGATCTCCGGGGCCCCCACCTTAGAAGGGTCCCGGCCTTAGATCAATCACTTGGACACTAAGGCACGTTTTAGCGTCTCTTGTCTTCATGATGATGTCCCATCTGTCCGTCCATGTTTTCTGCGTCGTGTCATCAGATGTAACCCTCGGAAGTAGTGCACACTCGTCTCTGACAGCCACGCCGCCGTCCGTTACGTGCGGGTCTGGACTTGTAGACTCGCTTCAAATATCCAATAAACATGTAACAGAAGGTGGCCTCGAGGTCTTCGCGTCGCGGGGCTCTGCCCTCAGCTCTCTCGCCCGCTGGGCCTCTGGTCTGGTTCACACAGTGACCATTTGTTGGCACCCACAAGACAGTTAACGCCGCTCCTCCCTGCCCGTGAGGCCGGCAATCCAGCGCCCGGTGTCGGGTTGCCCACAGCCACGGCATCCTCTGCGGCCCAGCTCGCCTGTGCTTTGGGCCCCCGCGGGCCTTGATGGGTCTGGCAGACCTGGGTTAGGAGCTGGTAGTCTCAGGTCTCAGCCCAGCCCTGGAGCCGCCTGCGTGGAGCCCTGCGGATCTCTTCCTTCCTGTGGCCTCCACATCCAGGTTTCGGCAATGGACATTTCCACTCTGTTCTCCTGGGTCCCCTGTAGGCCACGCAGAAGGGCTGACCCGCATCCCTGCCCCCTTTCATCTGAAGGTGTGGGCTCAAGGGCAGAGCTGCCTTCATCCCAACTCTGTCACTTATGTGCTCTGGGGCGTCAGTCCCCTTGTTTGTAGAATTAGGGTGGCGTGGGCGAGCCCTGAGGCCTACTCGGGGTAAGCGTGTAGGTAGGTGGGGTTTTGTGGCGAAGAGCCTGGCTCCCAGCACCCAGTAAACCACCTGTCTTCCTCCTGGACCTGGGCAGAGGGCACTGGGCTGACATGGGGAGCCTGGGACAGGGTCTTTTGGTGAAGGGAGAAGGCGATTGTGTCTGACCCTGGCCTTAGAGAGGAGCGAGGCCTGAGAGGCTGCTGGGCCCCCTCCAGGGCAGGGCATAGTCTGTCTCTCCTCCCTCCATGGGACTCTGACCCCTTCCCGAGACTGCGGAACCCAGCCAAGACTCCCTTTTGTACCCCTGACATGGGCTTTCTCACTGGGAGGCCGCAGGTGGCTGTGACCCCCTCTGGTCTGTTTCGGAGGCGACCTTCTCTCCACCCACCCCCCACTCTCCCAGAGGGAGCAGGAATGTTCTGCCAAGCCAGCTTTGGGGAAACACTGGAACCACCACTCTCTTCCCGAAGCCTGAGCAAATAGTGGGAGGCTCAGCCCTTCTCCCTGTCCCCCTCCCTGCCACCCAGGGCTGGCCACGCTGCTTCAAACCCACCCCCCCACCCTGGCGGGCTTTTCTCCGATTACAACAGTAAGTCGGAACACTTGGGAAAATAGCGGAAACACTTGCAGAAAATGAAATAAAACCCCCCTCGCATCGCATCCACCAGCAAGTTTGATGGCTCTGGGCAGCGCCCATGTGCCAGGCCGTGGGCCAATCGCTCTGTCAGCACAGCAGCCCCCTCACCTGGAAGCACTTCTCGCACCCCCAGTTTACAGGTGGGGAAAGTAAGGCCCAGGTGCGGGCAGGACCCTGTTGGCCTCGCTGAGCCCCCTTAACAGCCTTTGGTGGGGCTCCCAGAGGAGCAGCTGGTCCAGAGTGACGCGACGGGCGTCTATCCACCTGTCCTGGCCTGGCGCGGGCCGGCGGCGGGCTGGCCTTGGTTCTCTTTATCCAAATGGCCCTGTGTCCTGCCTGCACACCCCACCTCCACCCAAGAACCGCTTCTTCCTCTGGCCTCTGGGCTCTAGGCAGGGCTCTCCCCTCCTCCAGCCCTGCAGCTCAGTGGCCCAGAAAACACGACTTGACTGGGGGCCAAGGCTCCCGAGGTCTGAGCAGTGTCCGTCTCCCTCCCGAGACACAGTGTCCCTGCACTATTCAGAAGTGTCATTTCAGGGAAGGCCGTGGCTGGTTTTCAGAAGCTGTAGCCAGAACGGTCAGCCGCTCGCAGGGCCGGCTGCGAGGGTGGGTGTGCATGCGCTGTCCCCACCGCGGCCTCTGCCGTGCCAGCAGGACTGCAGCCACCGAGCACCCTGGGCCTGAGGGTGGGGCTGGGAAGCATGGCTTCTGGGTCCGCCTTCCGAAGCTGCTCTTACCTTCCTTTGAGCAGCAGACTGATAGAAACTCCCGTTCTCCTCCCAGAACCCAGCATTTTAGCATCAGCGCTGGAAGGGACCGTGGCAAGTCTCTTCTGCCTTTGGAATGCAAAGCCACTCCTGGCTGATGTGCTGATCCCACAGGCCCATCCTGCAGCTCCCCTCCTAAATGTTGATGCCGGTGTCCAGGCAGGGACTTTGTAATTCTCCATCAAGGTCAGTGAGCGAGCAGATGTTGGTTGGCGGTCAGGTGATTGGTGACACCTGGGCTGGACACTCCTCGTGCACAAGTGAGCAGCCAGCGGGTGGTGGTTTCTGGGTAGAAACAGGTGGGGGAGGGCCTCCCCGGTGGCGCAGCGGTTGAGCGCTGGGTTGCGAAGCTGCCCACGGCCTCTGCAGCACCGGTTCGATCCCCGGCTGCTCCCCGGCCACCAGAGGAGGGTCCCACATGGCGCGCAGACCTCTCCTGCCGCCCGCTGCTCCCCCCAGCAGTGTCCTTCGGTCCTTCTGCCTGCTCTGCTCCCCGCTCTGGCTCTGGTGAATTCTCTCACCCTCTTGTGCTTCTGACTGTACCCAGTGCTTGTATAAACAAAACAAACAAACAAATAAATAAAATGCCTCTATTAAAAAAAAAAAAGAGGTGGGGGAGCAGTTCAAAACTGCGGTGATCAGGAAGGGCTAATCCTGGATTAGCAGGGAACTGACCCAGGTTTGGAGCTGGGAGTAGAACTAAAAGTGAGAGCCAGCAGGGAAACTCCTGGGGCATAGCTTGCAGGGCTCAGACAGGCATGTGTGTACTTGGCTGGGGGCCCGAGGCTACGCGGGATTCGTAGGCACGAAAAGAGAAGGGCTGAGGATTGAAATGAGGGGCTTGAGACAACTTGACGCTAGCGGTTGCTTCTTTATTTTTTCTTTACCTTTTCTTACTTTTCCATGTCTTTCTTTTCCCTGTCTTTCTACCTTCCCTGACCTCTTCGCTCCTTTCGCAGTAACCTCTCGCAATAACCTTCCTGACCTCTAGGTTCTCTTCTTATATCCTGGTAGCTCCTCCCATCGTACCTCTGTCTCATTTGATTAACAGGAAAAACCTGTGGCTTAGTAGGCAAGGGTAAAGTGAAACTTAATTGATGGCACGTGTTGTGCAACACTGCGCATGATCGGACGGCTCCAACAGTTTTTGTTTTGTTTTTTGTGGGACCCTCGCCAGTGGCCGGGGAACGAACCGACGCTGCAGAGGCTGCAGGCAGCCTCGCAGCCCAGCGCTCAACCGCTGCGCCACCAGGGGAGGCCCCTGGGATGGGCCGGGGAACGAACTGACACTGCAGGGCCTGCAGGCAGCCTCGCAGCCCAGCGCTCAACCCCTGCGCCACCAGGGGAGGCCCCTGGGATGGGGTTTTCTCTGGGTAGGGAAGGGTTAAATTTTCCGTGGCCACCCAGTGGCTCTGGCCACTTGTCCTTCTGAACTTTCCCCTCTCCAACCTTGGTGCACAGCCCTGGTCAGCCCTGCCGAGTCCTCATGGCCAGCCTGAGCCCCACACAGCTCCAGAAGGTAGGGTCCTGCAGGGTTGGGGGCTGGAATGGGAGGCCCCTTCAGACCTCTGGGGGGTCCCCTGCCCCGAACTCCACCCCACCCCCTACCAGTTTACAGAAGAGGAAACTTTAGCCCAGAGGGATGGATTTCCAGCCATGGCCTCTAACTTCCGTACGCTCAGCCCAGGATGTCCAGGCCACAGCACCCGGGGTGGGGCGGGAATGTGTATGTGGCCGAAACCAGAATAAAGCCTCAGATCTACAGTCCCGGCCTGGGGAGGGGGGCGGCAGTGAGGGGCGGGGCTGGGGAGCAGGGACCTCCCCGTCCGGAGCCAGGCAGGCGTCCTGCCTGTGTCCCAACAGGAAGAGCTAACTCCTGGGAATTACTGCCGCACAGACTTTTTAAAAACAACCTTGTTTGTTCCTGATGGCAAGGGAAAATGCAGAAAGTTATGGAAAAGCTCAAAGGAGAGTATTAAAAACCACCCATAAATTCAACGCTGAGAGTTAACACTTTGGTATACAGCCCTGGAATCTTCTAAAAGAGCCATCGGATTTCCCACTGCTTAGCAAGTTCTTGCCATGTGCCCGTAAAGGGGGCACTTCTGCTCTCCCCCACTGGCTAGTCTGAGGATCGGGGAGGGGAGAGCAGAGCACTTCCCCAAGTCCTCACAATGGCACGAAGAAACTACTTGGTATTTCCCTTTCTGTCCCCACTGTGCAATGCACGGGGAACATAGCCCCGGGTCAGCAGTCTTGTCTACACAGGCTTTTCATCAGCTGTGTTGTGTCCAGGTACATGAACCATACTTTACTGAACGAATCCGCTTGGGCTGACGTTAGGTAGCTCCAGCCCACTGAACAGGGCTCAGTGAACACCCCCGTTCCTACATCTTTGCTCCTGTTTGCTTGTCTCAACAGAAGTCCTAGCAGTGTCTGGGCCACGGGCATGCAGTTTTGCTGCGGGTGACCCTCTTGCCAAGGAGGTGGCACGCGATGCTGATGTGGGCATTACAAGTCTAGCCTGCACAGCTGCCCAGAGACAGCAGCCCAGGGTGGGCGGTGGTGAATGTCCCAGCATCCTGTGTGCTGAAGCCGGGACCGGGCATCCACGGGGGACTGGGGGGCGGGCGAGGAATGGGGGCCAATCCCGGAAATCAGACACTTCACAGGGATTACGAGATGGGACATCCAGGTTCTGCTGAGGTTAAGACTTCAGAATGCTCTGTAAGCAAAAGTGCAGATATTTCTCTCCTATCTCTTATAACCTCAGAAATGAGGACTGCAGGAAAATCAGAATAAGCCATGTGTTTTATTTTTATTTATTTATTTATTTTTAAACAATGACTTTTATTTTATTTTTCTTTAATTTTTATTATTTATACAAACACTGGGCACAGTCAGAAGCGCGGGAGGGTGAGAGAATTCACCAGAGCCAGAGCGGGGAGCAGAGCAGGCAGAAGGACCGAAGTACACTGCTGAGGGGAGCAGCGGGCGGCAGGAGAGGTCTGCGCACCATGTGGGACCCTCGCCCGGCGGTCGGGGATCGAACCGGCGCTGCAGAGGCTGTGGCCATCTTTGCAACCCAGTGCTCAACCGCTGCGCCACCGGGGAGGCCCCTAAGCCATGTGTTTTAAACCCCCACTGGCTGCCCTGGGGACCCAGGGAAAGCCCAGTTCCTGCCCGGTCCAGTCCCGTCCCTGCACCCCCACCTTCACTCAGCCTTGCCAATTCCTCATGTCCCTCCTGAGCTCAGCGGCTTCAGGCGTCCCGCGTCATTGCTCTCCCCTTCCCACTCCCGGTATCCTGTGGGCCCTTCTTTCCAGGCCACTGTCTCCGTTGACTCTCTCCCCTCCCTGCCCAGTGGTCACTGAGGCTTCTGCCATTGGATCCCACGCCTGCCCTCACCCTCCTTGCCCTCACACTGTGGCGGCATGTTCACATGTGTGCCCATCTGCTCAACGCCAGCCTCCTCCACTAGACGTGGGTTCCCGGAGGGCAGGCATTGTGACGGGCTTGCCCATCGCTGTATCTCCTGCGCCGGAAGCCATGTCTGGAACACACAGTAGGTGCACAGTCAGTGTTCGTTGAATAAATGAATGAGGTCGCATTCCCATTCGAGCCCATTGAATGGGTAGGGGCCCCTCCCCTCTCCAGTGGCCTTCCTCCTGTCTTCCTTCAAGCCAATGTTGACCGCTCCTCACTGGGCGCTCAGGGTAGGGAACAGAGCCATGACCAGGATACTTGGTCATGCCCTCACACAGCTTCAGATCTGGGGTGGGGGCGCGCTTATAAAGCATGTGAGGGACTTCCCTGGTGGCGCAAGGGGTTAGGATGCAGCCTAGGAAGCTATCCGCAACCACTGCAGCACAAGTTCTATCACCAGCCTGCCAGGGAGCAACCCACATGGCGCAGCAGACCTCTCCTGTCTCGCCCGCTGCTCCCCTCAGCAGTGTGCTTTGGTCAGTCTGCCTGTTCTGTTCCCCACTCTGTCTCTGGTGGGTCCTCTCGCCCCCATGCCTCTGGCCTGTGCCCCAGCTCTTGTGTACATAAATAAATAAATAAATCTTTAAAAAGAAAAGGAAAAAAAGGAGTATGTGAGAGCAGGGGGAACCCTGAGTCTCACTCCTGCCTGCAGTTCCGGGAGGATGGATTCCTGGTGCTGGAAGGATTCCTGTCTGCAGACGAGTGTGCAGCTCTGCAACAGAGGATCAGCGAGATCGTGGCTGACATGGATGTGCCTCTCCACTGCCGCACGGAGTTTTCCACCCAGGAAGACGAGCAGCTGCGAGTCCAGGTGGGTGGCTGGGGCAGGAGAGAGTGGGGTCTGTTCTTTGATGGGGGGCTCAGCTCTGGCCAGAAGCAGCAGCCTGGGATGTTGGGCCTTAAGGCCCTGGGCTTGTTCTGTCTGATAAGGAGTCAGACCCCAGAGCCTTTCCTGCACCAGACTCCAGGCCTAGTGCCTTGTATGTGTTTCCCTTGCCTCATGAAGAATCCACGCCCCTGTTCGACAGGTGGGGGAAATGAGGCTTGGCTCCCTGGCCCCAAGTTGCACGGTCACCACTTGATTTGAACTCAGATCTGATCCCAGGTCCCTGCTGATCTGTACTTCCTTTTTTTTTTTTTTAAAGATTCATTTTTATTTATTTTTTTAATTTATTTATACAAGCACTGGGTACAGTCAGAAGCGCGGGAGGGTGAGAGAATTCACCAGAGCCAGAGCGGGGAGCAGAGCAGGCAGAAGGACCAAAGGACACTGCTGAGGGGAGCAGCAGGCGGCAGGAGAGGTCTGCGCGCCATGCGGGACCCTCCTCCGGTGGCCGGGGAGCAGCCGGGGATCAAACCGGCGCTGCAGAGGCTGCGGGCAGCTTCGCAACCCAGCGCTCAACCGCTGCGCCACCGGGGAGGCCCTGATCTGTACTTCCTAAGGAGTTCTCCTGTGGGGCCAGTAACCCAGAATAAGCCCAGAGATTCCAAGGGGCTCCACTGTATAAATCTTACCCTCCCCCCCCCAGTGAGGCTAGAAACTCTGCTGTCCCCCACCCCCACCCCACAAGTGACCTAATGGACAGTTTGATCTGTACGCTGAGACTGGGGAGTTCAAAGGTTTGAGCAGTCCACCCCCTTCTGCCTCCAGGCCTGGCCCAGCGCAGTGGAGGGCCGCGCACACATGCCGGGGAGCTCCTGCCACCTGGTGGGCATAGGGGGAATTACAGGGGCCCCCCAAGCCTGGCAATCGTATTTAGTCTAAGAGGAAAAGCATTCTAGAAGGACAGCGTCCTTCAGCCCTTCTAGGGGAAGCAGAGTCGGGGTCCTGTGTCCAGAGACAGGTCACTCAGGGCTCTGAGGAGTGAGGGGTCCCATCTTTTGTCCTCCAAGCTGCCTTCTGAGAATGTCCTGAGACCAGCAGCCGGGGGCAGGAGGTGGGAGGAGAAAGTGTCCCTCTCTTGGTTATCATGCCTGGCACGCAGTAACCCTCACCGTTCGCATTGACATTGTGAGAGACTGACATGTGTATCAGCAAAAACGGTCAGTGTCCTGCCCAGCGCTCCCTTCCAGCTTGCCCCCACCTTTCATCATGAGTTACAGGGAGTCCTCACTCAGCATCATCCATAGACTCTCGGAAACTGTGAGTTTAAGTGAAACAATATATAATGAAACCAATCTTAGCATCGCCTTATTGACACAGAGGAGGACAGAGTATCCAGGGCACAGCTCTGTCACTAAAGCACCAGCAAACTCTTCGTAAGACCCAAATACCTCTAATATGGAATAATCATTTCTACTTATTCTTTCACTTATTTTCTGACCTATTTATACCAATTCAGGGTTGGGGTGTCCTGACAGCTCAGGGTGCAAGGCAGAAACCTTCCCTAGAGAGGAGACCATCCCCGGGGTGCATCACCCCCCCACCCACTCACTCAGGCTGGGCCTGTGGAGACCCTCCGTGAACCTGCCGGGCCCATCTGTGCTGTGCCAGAGAAAATGCACGCAGAGCTGGGAGAATGACACACTCCAGGCACAGCCCCCGTCAGGAATCCATCTTTGTGCTCCTTGTCCAGTGATGATGCTGAGAACAAAACGTCATCTGGGACCTGCTGTATGTCACAACGCTGCACAGAACTGATGGCCACGCAGGTGGTGCTTGTCCCCCACAAACTGGAGATGAGGGGCCTCCCTGGTGGTGCAAGGGGCTAAGTCTCAGCACTATGAAGCTATCCGCAGCCACTGCAGCATGAGTTCGAGCCCCTGCCAGGGAGCTACCCACATGGTGCAGCAGACCTCTCCTATCTCCCACTGCTCCCCTCAGCAGTGTATTTCAGTAGATCCACCTGTTCTGCTCCCCACTCTGTCTCTGGTGAATCCTCTCACCCCCCGCAGCTATCGCCTCCACCCCAGTTCTTGTATGCATAAATAAATAAATCTTAAAAAAAAAAACTGGACATGAACTGGGTCCGGCAGAATGCGGTGGTTCCCCCAGGACCTGTTTTGCCTGATTTGTAAATTCCCTTCGGTGTTCCTTACCGCCTAGGGGTGTGTGGCTCTGGGAATTCTCCTTCCAACTGGTTAGACCGTCTCACTCGTTCTGGTAAATGATCTATTTACCAAAGATCATGTTTAGTATCATCCTCTCTAATGTTGTCACAATGGCTGGTGCTTTCCTGACTTGTTTCCTGCACCTTGATCCCGGTGAGGAGGAAGAGCCACAACTTTTACTTTTCAGTGGGATGGGCTTTGGAAGGGCCAGGCAGGTTGCTGACCACACAGAAGGAGGGCGCCCACTTGAGGAACCCTGGTTGGGGGTCAGGGGCCACCACGCAGCAAGGCAGGAGACATAGGTGGTGGTGGGAGGTCACGGGGGCGGCGGAAGCCACAGGCATCTTTCTGGAGCGTCATTTCCATAGGATGCTAAGAAATATCAAACGTGATATGAAAATGAACAAGGAGAGGTTAAGAAAACAGAAGATGAAGAATAGTTTGTATTTGTCCGTCACTGAGACGGGCCCCTGTGACAGTAATAAAAGCTGGTGTTCATGTGGCACTGAGTACATTCCAAAGACTGTTCTGGTACCTTCTAGAGTGACCTGTCACCCCTATCATCATGCCCTATGAGACAGGTACAGTTACAGCATCTGTGTTCTGCGAGAAGGTGGGTGACCTGACTGTGGTCACACAGCGGGTCCTGACAATCTGGCTTGGACTCCTGGTAGTTAAGCTCGGGGAGTGTCCTTGATGGCTCTAAGACTCGGCCTCTCCTGAAGCCTCCAGCAGGCCTGGGCAGGTCAATCCTCTTAGTCCCCCTTTATCGATGAGGAAACCGCGGCTTTGGGAGGTGAAGCCAGTGGCCCAAGGCTCCCCGGGAAGCAGGCCTGTTTGATGTCAGTGCCCTGAATCCCACCACGAGGGAGTGTCTGAATCACGTGATTTAGTTTCTAAGAAATTCCATGCTTGAGACTTCCAGCTGTGCTGCTGCTGCATGGGGTTCCTGCCCATGGTCTGTGCCTTGGTGGGCAGTGTGGGATTGCCCTGGGGTTCCTGGCCTCACTGTGGGTCCTCTGCCCTCTTTGCCAGGCCCAGCTCTGACCCGGGATGTTCTCTTAGCCCCTCTGATGTCCCCTTCCCACAGGGCAGCACAGACTACTTCTTGAGTAGCGGTGACAAGATTCGGTTCTTTTTTGAGAAAGGCGTTTTTGACCAGAAAGGTTAGGAGTTGGGCCCAGCAGTTGGGGGAGGGGGGCTGGACTCGGGCATCTGTCCCCCAGGTGGGAGGGTGCTGAGGCGCAATGCCCATGGGAGGCTGGCTCCAACCATCCCCACTTTACCCTGTTCCTGTGCCACAGGAAATTTCCTGGTGCCTCCAGAGAAAGCCATTAACAAAATCGGCCACGGTAAGGAGGATCCTGGGGGGAGGGGATGAGGAAACTGAGGCATGAAGAGTGGTAGGGGACGTTTCCAGTGCCCACGTAAGTCAGTGGCAGGTGGCATTTCTCTATCTTGTGATGCCAATCTCATGACATGGCACTGGAAAGCAGGGTCCACTTGACCTCCCCCCTCCCCCGCCCCATACACAGGTGTCATGTGTGGACCCTCAGCTTTTTGTGCCTGGCTTGGGGTGGTCCAGGCCTGGGGCACGAGGGCGTGTGGGTCTGGCTGCTTCCTGGAACCTCCTTAAGGAACCCTTAACATGTTGACATGGTCCCTGTTCTGAGACCCAAAAGCAAGCTAGGAATCCCTCTCCCCCCAGGATCACATATTATTACTGATCTTGTAGATTGCTTTTTTTTCAACAAGAGAAGGAATCCACTTGTATTTATTGGATTTTCCAGTAAGTCTCAGTCCTTGAGGGACGCTGTATGATGCAGATTCCGAGTCCCACAGCCTGAGCAGGAAGCGTGTAGTGTGCCTGTTTCCATGGGAACGCGTCCCCGTCCCCAGGTGACTGCAGTGTACACGTTTCGCCACCAGGAGCCACTGTCTCCGCCTTTGTTGAGCTCATGATCACATCTCTCACCCAGATGGAATTCAGCTTCATGCCAGTGCAAACACCTTCAGTTCTAAGAGCTGTGGGCTCCCCCTGGTCCAGAGAGCCCATAAAAATGGCCAAGGACCTCAGCCTTCCAGCCATATTTTAGAAATCCTGTTCCAGGCACCCCCTACCCCCAGGTCCACATTGGTGGCAAGAGGCTGTTTATTTTTAAGTTTCAAGTTATACCATGGAAGCTCATAAAAATACCATGGACACCACACCACATCACATTTGCCAGCATGGCCATTTTCAGGCGTATTGTCCAGTGGAATTCAGTCTGTTGAACCCTTACTTTTTATAATAACAATATAGCAAATAGTGGTCAGAGTGCCCACCCCGCGCCTGGCCTGGGCTGTGGCTGCATCTGCGGCGGCCCCTCCTGCCCTGTGGCCTCCTGGGCGGCCAGCCCGTCTGCCGGTCCCGCTGGACAGAGGAGAAAACAGCTTCCACCAGAGAGACAGTCACGCCATTTCACAAGATGAAGTGGCAGCACTGAGACTGCTGCCAAGTGAGGGATTCCTTCCAGTCAGGGCACTGGGGGGGGGTCCCAGATGGTTACAGGACAGGGATAAGGTCGTGGGAGGGTGTGGGGCCATGTGGGGAGAATTAATTAGCTATAAAAAGCAGAGCCCTTAGAGCTCACAACAGGGGAGGGTGCCCACAGCATGGGGAGGGTGTCCGGGGTGGCCAAGGGGGTGCATGGGGGCTGGGAACTGCCTGTCAGCCCACCTCTGTCCTGCAGCTCTGCATGCCCACGACCCTGTCTTCAGGTGTGTCACACACTCCCCGAAGGTGCAGGTGAGCAGAGGTATGTGTGTGGGATGGGCCAGATGTGAAGGGACAGAATGTGCGTGACCTGTGCCCCCTTCCCAGGCCCTGGTCAGAAGTCTGGGCCTCCAGATGCCGGTGGTGGTGCAGAGCATGTACATCTTCAAGGTCAGCTCCTTGCCCTCTCAGCCTCCGTCTGCCTTTAGTAAAGTGCGCAGAGCCCCTCCTGCCAGGGGCCAAAGCTGCTCCCCGAGGAATGATTATTTTCAAGTTGGGGGACAACATGTAAAATCAGTCTCCCCTGGCTAAGGCGGCTGGTACTCCTGGGAGGCGGGAAGGGGAGCCCAGGACTCCTTCCTTCCCTACCGAAACACTGCTCCTGAGCTCAAGGCCCAGCTCTCTGCATCGTTAGGGACGTCGGGACAGACTGGGCCTCCCTGCCCTGTGGGTAGTTTTGTCTCGTCAGCCTTCCTGGCCTTGGATCCCAATAGGTGCTCAATGGCTGAGTGCTAATGTGGAACCTTTGGAGGCGACCACAGATGGCCAGGGAAGAGCACCCCACAGGCCAGAGTGGGCCTCTGCTCCCCCTGATCGCCTGTGGCCTCACTGGGCCTTCCCTCTCTCTTGCAGCAACCTCACCTTGGTGGCGAAGGTGAGCCGGAGCAGGCTGCAGGCCCAGCCAGGGCCATGGTGGGGGATCTGGGACGTGAGCAGTGGCTGGGTCCTCGGAGGGAGGAGGGGCGAGCGTGTGCTGAGATGTCTGAGAGCCTGTGCTGCGAGGGCCAAGGGCCGCCTCCCACCCTTCCTGCAGCCGGGATTGGGAGGTGTCCTGGAGTCTTGGCACAGTGGGTCCTGGACCTGGCGGCAACTCCTGGCTGGTTAAAAACAGATGCCTGGGCCCCATTTCTTGAGTAGGTAGGGGGTGCCAGATCTGGGAATCTATTTTTCTTAAGATTTCTTTTATTTATTTATGCATATTTATTTATGCAAGACTGGGGTGCAGGCCAGAGGTGAGCGGGGGTGAGAAGATTCACCAGAGACAGAGTGGGGAGCAGAACAGGTGGATCTACTGAAATACACTGCTGAGGGGAGCAGCGGGGAGACAGGAGAGGTCTGCTGCGCCATGTAGGTCAGCAACCTGGCCGGGGATTGAACTCAGGCTGCAGTGGCTGGCGATAGCTTGATGGTGCTGAGACTTTAACCCTGCGCCACCAGGGAAGCCCTGTATTTTTAACAAGTTTGCTGGACCACTGCCTTAGCCTAGAGGTGGCTGATGTAATTTCAAACCCCACCAGATGCACAGATACCCTTGACAGCCTCCCCTGTAGGCAGTTCTCGACTTCTGCTCAAATACCTCTGGTGACGGGGAGCTCACCACTTTGCAGGCAGCTCTTTCCTTCCTTGCATGAGCCCAAGTGGGCCTGCGGAGTGCCCCTTCCTCCCCACCATTCAGGTCAAGGGCAGTGCCCTGAGGGATGACCACCCCTGGCCTGGGCCCAGGGTCCCCACTCCTTCCAGTCATTCCTCCTCCTAATGCTTTGGAGCCCTCAACTTTAGGGCACCTTCCTCCAAAGTCAAAGTCCCCCTAAGTTGGGTGCTTAGAAAACACAGAGCTCCCCAGCAGGAGGGGAGCCAGACGAGCACCCCTTTTCTTTGTTATTCCAGACCAAGGTCCTTTGCTCATTGGCTCCATGCCGGCTGGGCCCCCAGTGTCACGTGGGAAGGGTGGTCAGAAGGTGAAGCTTTGGTCAGTCACCCCCCTTGGAGCCCCACCTCCTGGTCTCACACCCGGGGGCTCACGCAGGGCGTGCAGGGGCTGGCCCCTGGTTGGGAAGGGTGACTGCCTGGGATTAAACAGTGGTGTTGCATTTTAGCAAGTGATCAGGGCGGGAGCCTGTACTGGGCACTTTTCATTCTTTACCGCACGGGTCCCTCCAGTAACCCCACGAAGCAGGTCCAGCGTGGGGCCGCTTGATGGTTGAGGAAGTGGAAGCTTCAAGAGGCACAGTCTCCTGCCCAGAGCGCCTGGGCCAGGAGGTGTGGGTTTCTAACCATGGTGTGGAGGCTGGGCCTGGGCGGCTTAGAGGCCGAGGAGTGGGCATGGGGCCGAGGGAGGCAGGCCGGCTCCTCATGGCAGGCGCTGTCCCAGTCACGGCTCACCAGGACGCCTCCTTCCTGTACACGGAGCCCCTGGGCCGGGTGCTGGGCGTGTGGATCGCACTGGAGGACGCCACGCTGGAAAATGGCTGCCTCTGGTTCATCCCCGGCTCCCACACCGGTGAGGACACCTGTGTTTCCCCCACCCCCACCCAGGGAGAGGGACCCAGAAGAAAGGGAGGTTAAAGGGTTCACCTGGGCCTGCAGGTGGCGTGTCCAGAAGGATGGTCCGGGCGCCGGCGGGCTCAGGGCCAGGCACCAGCTTCCTGGGGGCAGAGCCAGCCCGGGATGACTGCCTCTTTGTGCCCACACCTGTGCGGAGAGGTAGGCGGGCTGGCGGCAGAGGGTGGAGGCTGCGCTCATGAGTGCGACCACCCAGCTCAATCGAGGGCTGTGGAGTCACAGAAGGGGGGAAGGTGGGGCGTGGGCTGCGAAGTCGGAAGCGCCTGGGCTGGTGCCAGGTTTCCCGGATCAGTGGGGCTTGGATCCGGACTCTGGCGCGACCATCTCTTTGAGTAAACAGCTGAACCCAAGCCTCAGTTTCCCCCAGTGTAAAGTGGGGAGATACACATCGGTGAGATGATGGGTGTGCGCAGAGCAGCTGTGAGTGCACCCTCTGCCTTCCAGACAACTCATTCCCCCTTGGGGATCACTGGTGGCCCCCCCCTCCCCCGTTCCTGGCACAGTACAGGGAGCCTCTGGTGGATTCCGGGAGCACCCCCAGGAAGGGCTGTGCCTGCTGAGGCTTGCCAGGGGCACAGGCCACAGCAGAAGGGACTTGATCCCAGGGAACCCGTGCAGCAGCCCAGCCTCCCACCTGAGTTCCCAGGGACAGGCTGACAGGGGAGGAGGCCCAGGTCCTCGCTGCCCTAAGGCGGTGTGGGTCTGGGTCCTCCTCGCTGCTCACATCCCGCAGGGGCCCTGGTCCTCATCCACGGGGAAGTGGTGCACAAGAGCGAGCGGAACCTATCGGGCCGTTCACGCCACGCCTACACTTTCCACCTCATGGAGGCCTTGGGCACCGTCTGGAGCCCCGACAACTGGTAGGTGGAGAGGTGGTGGGTGTCCAGCGTCCTGAAGTGGTCCCGGAAGCCGGGCACCGTGACACTGGCATCTCAAGGTCATCTCCTCTGTCCTTGCAGGCTCCAGCCAACAGCAGAACTGCCCTTCCCCTCATTGTACACCTAACGGCCCGGCCGGGCACCGCTCCCAGTGAGCATGTGGCCAAGGTGCCCCACCTCCAGGCTGCAGCAGGAGGGAGCATCTCTCTCCCAGGCTATCCTGGTGCTGGTGTCTGGGCCCCTCGACCCTGCAGCTGGGCAGGCATGAGGTGGCAGAGGGGCCGGGCTGGAGACTGTTTCCCGAAGACCTCCGCCTCTGCCCCTCGCTCCCTCATACAGCCTCCCCTCAGCCGCGAAGCGTCCCCCATGGCTTCTCGCTCTTGTCTCACTGGTGATTACCGGGCAAGACACTGAATTAAAACAACTTCTGAAGGCACCTTCTTGGTCTTTCTCTCCCATGCAGCCTGCTTCTCAGGTGGGGGCCTTGCTGGCAATCACCCTGGCTTCCCCAGCCCTGCCTGGTGAGGCCAGCCTGACTTGCATCACGGTAATTGCCACTTAGTGGGCACTCACTGTGCCAGGAGCGCCACCCTCCCACCCACGGGCCTCCCAGCAAGCGAGCTCGTGCGCAGAGGAAGCAGCGGAGATGTGGGCAGGCTAAGTGCCCGGCCCAAGCCACACGGCCTTCCTGCTGAGCGGTTGGCCTGAGAGGATGATGCTCTGCTCCCCGGCTTAGAGGGGGCGGGGAAGACCACCTGGGCTGGAGGCCGGAGTCCTGAGTTCTGACTCTGGGCCCTGTGATCAAATCTGCTTCTGGCCTTAGGCCCTGCCTCAGGCCATTTCCCACCTGTAGCCTCAAGGACCAGAGTCCGGGCTCCTCCCGGGCCTCCTGCTGGAGGCACACCAGGCACCCAGACCCTCTGCAGGAAGTGCCATCCCATCCAACACCCGTTAGCCGGGGGCTGGCCCAGAAACTGCAAATAAGGGGAGACTTACTGGCTGACTCCAGACCACAGATGTGTTCGGTCTGGGCCTCAGTGTTTTCTGAAAAACATTAACATTGGGAGATTTCATTTGTGGATCCAGGCTGCTAACATTCCTTGAATGAACAGAGGGCTGTGCTTCCCTGGAGGCGGGCCCTCCGGGCACGTGTCCCGTTCCTGTTCACTGAATTACCTGCCTGGCCCTGGTGGCCATACCAGTTGGTGACCCTGATCTTCAGCTCTTCCCCACTCCCGGAGAGATAAACCAAGGCCCAGAGAACAGAGCCACCCCAGCCCCTCACCCCGTGAGACAAAGCTGGTGCTGCTCCCTACTATTTTGCCACCTCCTTTGGCAGCGGCAGAGGGGCCTGAGAGGGAAGGGTTTAAGTCTCCTTTGCCTCAGAGGAGTGCTCAGCACTTCCTTCAAAGGGAAGGGACTTGGCAGCAACTGGCGGGCAGCAGCAGGAGCTCCCTGGGGCTCTGCCCCTGGCTTCAGGCCTTGGTGGACCAAAGTTCTCACTCTGCCTGCTGGGCCACTCCCTGCCAGGTGGGGTGAGAAATGGGGAGAACCTTGTCTGCGCCTGGGGAGTGCTGTGCTATCTTCCCGCTGGTGGGGAGTGTTCACCCATTCATTGATCACCTACTGAGTTCTTGCTACATGCCAGGCTGGCAGAGGTTGCGCTGGGGAACCAGGCAGTCCAGACCACAGGTGGCTGCCCTCCTGGAGAGCAAGATGAGCAGGGGCCCCAGGAGGGCCACTGCCAGCCCCTCGGCTCTCACCTCTTGTGAAGAGAACAGAGAAACCCTGGTCTCCATGGGGCTGGTGTGAGGGCTCTGGGAGGGGCCCCTGAGCTGTCCAGCCCATCCTTCAGCAGCAGTCAGCAGGCAGCAGCAGAGGCCTTGAGGTGGGAGTGGCACTGGCTGAAACCGGAGCCAGGTCAGGACCCCATCCTCTTCCCTCACGCATGCAATGAGCCCGTCCCACCTCCCCCCTGCAGCTCTTCTAGCCCTCGAGGGACAAACCACAAGCACTGGACCATTTCCCTTAGGGTTCTCTTCCAAATGAAGGGGAGTAAAGGTCCCGCTGGCCTCCAACTACAATCCATAAACCCCCTTGGCTTGTAGGCTGTTTGCTGAGATGAGATTGGGACTTGCCCTTGCTGACCGCCCATGGTGGACCAGCCCTGGGCTGGAGATTCCGCACACCTCACCTCCCCGGGTCCTCACAACACCCCAGAGGTGAGGGCTCTCATTCCCATTTTGCAGACTGGAGAACTGAGGCTCAGAGTGGTTAAGCAGCTCACCCACAGTCACACTCAAGGAGGATTCTGACCACACTAGTTTCGGCACCAGCCCTGGAGGATTACCGAACCGTTGCTCGACCTCCTCCAGTGTCCACTGGGGGCCCCTCTGGGGCCCTCTCTGGAACCCTCAGGGGGAGAGGGGAGCCTGACAGCACACACGGGTTCTTTTGAGTTGTGCTACCCTTTAAGCCTGTTTGCTTTTTAAATATCAGTAAAACGAAAACCAGGAGAGCTTTGATTTTTATTTTGAATCTGAATCAACTGAAAAATCAAATCTACTTTTCCCTCCTTGGCTCTTCACACCCAAGTGGCTGGCTGCCGTGAAGACCATCTCCATCCTCTCTGTGTCTGCTTCCCCCCTCGCTGCTGTGCCGCAGCTAGGCCATCAGCAATATCAGGAGGTAGAGAGGCAAAAGGAGATTGTCTATCTGTGTCGTGTATGCTTCTAAGAGGGACACAGTGCTGATGGACCCCAAAATCCACGCATAACTGTAGTTGAGGTCCACGCCACTGTCAAAGATTAAGATCAGGGCTACAGAAATGATCTGAGCAAATATGGACGTCATGGTCCCCTCGAAAGTCTTTTTGGTTCCAGGCCAGCGGATTTCCCCTATGGTGCTGCCAAAGATGGAGGCCACCGTATCTCCCACCCCCACGGCCAGGACGCCCGCGTAGGGGACTAGGGCCCTTGCCCCCCCCAAGCTACCTTTCTGTGTGCAGGGTCTGGGGACCAGCCAAATGGGAAGAGACATGCCCAGGAGCAGGTAGATGTGAGTCAAGATGAGTGGTCCGCTGTCTCGTTCATCCAGGAAGAGGGAGAGGAGGCTCCGCAGAGTGTGGCCCAGGGGCTTAATGCGGAAGTAGCGCACGTACTCCAGGAAGATGAAGACTGCCAGACACACGGTGGCAGCCACGTAGAGCAGTGGCCGGTCAAAGATGATACCTGGGATGTAGGTGGCCACCACAATGAAGTGGAAATACTTCCGGGCAATAGTGGGGGCCTGGTGCTTCTTGGACTCAGAAGATGACCGCTTGGCATTCTGGTACAGTACCACCAGGCAGGCCAAGGTGGCCAGCAGAGACCAGTAGGCTAGGAGGTAAATGCGAGTGTCTGTCTGGAAGAGGAACTGAAGAAGCCAGAGCAGGGGGTTCCTGCGGATGAGTCGGTGCAGCCACGGCAGAACCACACCTAGGCCCAGCACACAGGTCATGAGGTGGAAGAAGATGGAGGAGGCCCAGGTTGCTGAGTCCATAAAGACAAAGAGGGTGCTGAAGAAGATGCCCATGAGCACCATCCCCACCACCACCACCAGCAGGAAGAAGTCCACTGGGTCCCCCTGGCTTTCCACCACCGTCAGAGAGCGCTTGATGAGCTGGTTGAGGACGAAGCTGATGCCACCCAGTACCAGCAGGGCCTCCCCGGGGGTAAAGCAGCGGGGCAGCAAGTACAGCAGGATCATGTTGAGGTAGACGAAGATCAGCAGGACCTCCAGGACCTCAATCACCTCTCCCACGCTCAGCGAGTGCTTCATGATATAAATGATGACACCGCCAGCCAAGCCTGAGATGACGCAAGTATTGGTGGGCACCGGGCGAGTGATGCCCAGTGCCAACACTGACGAGAAGAGGGCTACTGCCATGCCAGTGGCAGCCACCACGACTCCAAAGCGCTCGAAGTAGGGGTTTTCCGCAGCCTGGCAGCGCTCCTTCATGACCAGTCCGAGCAAAGGCATGACCATCGAGGCGGGCAGGAGGCCACTGTTCGCGGACATTCGGAACTGGAAAACCGCACTTCCCTGCTGGAGCAGCCGGTCCCACTTGTACTGGACGTAGAACGCCTGCACCGCCAGGGCCACGGCGCACCACGAGTACCGGTCCCAGACGGCTGCGTGGATGCTCAGCACCATCGCGAACACCACCGCCGCCTCTGCCAGCACCGAGCCGCTCAGCGGAGCCCCCGCCCCCGGGGCCGGGGGGGCGCACTCTCGGGTCATAGCTCTAGGCCGGGGACCCCGAGGTGACCAGGGACACCGTGGGCTCCGGGCCCCTCAGTCCCGCCAGGTAGCGAGCGGCAGCGTCAGTCAGCCAGCACCGTCTCCCGCCGTCCCCGCCGCGAGGGGTGAGGCGCCGCCGTAGACCACGCCGCGGCCCGGGAGCTGGCGCTCCGCCGCCCTCCGCCGCCCCCCGCCTACGCAGCGGCGCAGACGTCGCCACCAGGCCGCCTCCCTCACGGCCTCGATCGCGCTCGCCGTGGGTGCCTCACCTCCTCGGGCCTCGCCATCTTGGCCACGCCCCGTCGTCACGTGACCGAAAACCACGCCCACGCGCCGGCCGGAGCCGGGCGGTCACGTGGGCCCCGCGCCTGGGGGCGGGGCTGGGGCGCGCGCGCGCGCGAAGATGGCGGCGGCCGCCGGCGGGCCGTGTGTGAGGTGCGGAGCGGGCCGAGTCGGCTGGGGTGGCTGTGGGGCGCGGGTCGGAGCCGAGCGGAAGCCGGGCGGGAGTTGGGGGCGGGAGGTGGCGGCGGTGGCGGGGCGCAGCCCGGCTGTGGGGGACGGGCGAGGAGACGGGAGGCGGTTGCGTTCAAACGGTCCCCGCGCGCGGGGCTCCGGAGGGACTTCTCCCGGCGGGGGCCGGAGCCTCTCCCCGCCCTCGGCGCCGGCCTCGCGTCTCCCCACCCAGGCCCCTCCCTTCCTCTCTCCCACCCGCGCGTCCCTCGGCGCCCCCGCCCTCCCTCGTCGGGCCCTGACGCTCCTCGAGGCGCAACGGGGCGCTGGGCGGTCGCGGGAGGAGCCCCCCGGGGCCCCCCTGGAGCCTCCGCGCCCTGCCCGGGGCGCTCCCCGGGCTCCCATGTGCTCTCGCTTGGGGCCCTGTCGGGTGGCGCCGAGCACCTCCCTGCCGTGTCTGTCCTCTCCCCGCGCCGCCTTTCATTCATCCAGCTCCTCGCTGGGCGTGCGTGGATTCCGCGGCCGACGGCCCCCAGCCCTCGGGGGAGCCCGGGCACCGGCCGGCCTGGGGGTCAAGATGATGAGGTTTTAAAAAGAAACCTGCTGTTCTTCCCGGAGCGCTTCCCCGCGCCGATCGGGGCGCGGGCGAAGCTTTCTAGGCTTTAGCTCCCCGGCGTCTCCCCGCTCCGGGAGGCGCCCTGTGGTGCGGGTGACTCGCAGACCCGCCGGGCTGAGAACTCTCTCAGTGTGTGAAGCGAGACTCCAAGTCTTGCCGACTCCAGAGCCTTCCCACGACCGCCGCTCTGCCTCTTCCACCTGAGCTCTT